AGAACTTTTCTCTCTCTCTCCCTCTTTGAAACTGACCTAGATCCGAACAGCAACAAACAAGGGACTCGCTTGGTTTGTTTGGTTTTTTTTGGTTTCTCGCGGAAGGCGTTTCCACGCGAAGGAATCCCTCCTTTCTGCAGTTAGCGGAGATTTCGCAGAACTTTTCTCTCTCTCTCCCTCTTTGAAACTGACCTAGATCCGAACAGCAACAAACAAGGGACTCGCTTGGTTTGTTTGGTTTTTTTTGGTTTCTCGCGGAAGGCGTTTCCACGCGAAGGAATCCCTCCTTTCTGCAGTTAGAAGACAGGCTCCGTTTTTCCAAACATCCCCCGCCCCCCGAGTAAGGAAAAGGGGAAAACCCGGTTTACACCGTGGAGGAAACAGATCGTTAGTTGTACGAGGAAAAAATCGGGTGTTTTGGAGTTTAGGCTTTACAGCTGGGGGGGGGGGGAGAAAGAAAGAAAGAAAGAAAGAAAGAAAGAAAGAAAGAAAGAAAGAAAGAAAGAAAGAAAGAAAGAAAGAAAGAAAGAAAGAAAGAAATAAATAGACAAATAAATAAAACATAGGCACATATACGAACTAGGGGGGAAGAAAAGTACTCAAGAAACAAACTGACCAAAAGTAGCTCACCAAGGAGAAAAGAGAGAAACAGAAATTAGCTAACAAAAGCTAACAAAAGAGAAAAGTTCACTGCAGTTACCTTTATTGGCATTAACATTGGAGAAAATACGCAAATAGACAAATAAATAAAACATAGGCACATATACGAACTAGGGGGGAAGAAAAGTACTCAAGAAACAAACTGACCAAAAGTAGCTCACCAAGGAGAAAAGAGAGAAACAGAAATTAGCTAACAAAGGAGAAGAGAATTCTAGAAAGAGAGAGAGAGATTACAATTAGCTAAGAAAGGAGCAAAGCATCCAAGAGAGAAAGAAAGACTTAAATAGCTAACAAAGGAGACAAGAGTTCAAGAAACAAACTCACTAAAATGAGCTGACGGAGGAGAAAAGTGAAACTGAAATTAGGTAACGAAAGAGAAAAAGCGTTCTAGAAAGAAAGATTAAAACGAGCTAGGGAAGCACTAAAGCGTGAAAGGAAGGAAGGAAGGAAAATTAAAATTAGCGAAGGAAGGAAAGGAAAGAGAGGAAGGAAGGAAGGAAGGAAGGAAGGAAGGAAGGAAGGAAGGAAGGAAAACTAAAAGCAGCGAAGGAAGGAA